CTTTTTTGGGGGGATGTACTCAGGGGCACTCGACCACTGAGCCACATCCCTAGCCCTATTTTGTATTTTATTTAGAGACAGGGTCTCACTGAGTTGCTTAGCATCTCGATTTTCCTGAGACTGGTTTTGAACAGCCTTTTAAATGCTTAARTGGTGGTGTTTCCTAAATAATTGTCATAGTTCACAATTTTGTTTATCAAAGAGATGATTGTTTTGAATCTTCAGTTTGACTTACACAGATTATTCAATAATGGAAGCAGTACTGTGAAACTGGTCCTTTGTTTTGTGCCAAGCCTGCCTACCAAAATAAATATACATTTTATTTTTTAAAATATATGGCATTTTTAAAAGTGTTTGCCATTTACCCCAAGCTCTCCAACAAGCTTAGGTTAAATAGCGATAGTAATGCTACTTCCCTTCCCAGGAACAGTGAGTTAATATAGGTCTTAAAATATCACAATTTCTTTAGTAGGTTTGCTCTATTAGCAAATAGTCAAGATGGAAAGCTTTCATTCCCCTATTGATCTCCATTACATTCTGTCACTATAAGTTATTGATTTATAATTTGATGAAATGATAGTCCGTATTTGAAAGAGATTGAAGGCTTGACTGGTTCCTTAAACTTTCTTGCTTGTATGGATTCCCATTCAGCATCTTATTGATAGCACTTGGAGTTTCCATTCTTTACCTGGTTGTCTGATTTTGTGGAGCATTTTACCAAGAGACTTGAGATTCTCATAAAATGTACTCCGTGATCTCACTTCTTAGAACCATAGAGGCCAGTTTTCCTATAGTAATGTTTCCTATTAGTAATGTGCATATTTCTCAGTCCCTTCAGTAAGCATATAAACAGAAATATATTTACTCTGAGAACTCAGTATACCTAAAGATGACATTTAGATTGCAAATATAATTGCAAATGTCATCTGATTTTTTTTTCTCACTGTTTTCCTTTTTCTCTTTCCATTCTCTGTATCACCTGATACTCGTGTATAGTAAGATCAGTATATTGTGGCTTAGATTTGATTTTATGGTATATTCTCACACAGAATGGACAAAAATGAATATATTTCTGAAAAGCAGTAGTAGAATCAAAGGCATATCTGGATAATAATACTTTATCCAGAAGACTGTTATTTTCTAATTTAGGAACATTAATGTACAAAGTACATCTCTAAAACCTTATCATATATTGTTTTATAGTCATTTTGCTTAAACAATAAGATGAATTGAAGAACATTTATTTACTAATTTAGTTGTGTATTCAGGTTGATTTTTAATTTAATGTGAAGAGGTTACCCCACTGCTAGAAACTGAATAGAAGTAATTCTTAATTTACTGCTAAAACTGGTTTATATTAAAAATACTTCCAAGAAATATGTAATGGGTCATCACAAAAGGCAGCATATTTTTGTAGGATTCTAAAAATCCACTTATAATCCTAACAATTTTACTCATGCACAATTTATCACATATCCTTTTTTTATTATATTACATAATCCCCACAACTGTCTGAGCAAACTGATGTTAAGGTTACCCTTTGGTAGYCTTGTGACTCTATATATTTAGCTGAATTTAAGATGATTGAGCCAGGCGCGGTGGTACACACCTATAATCCTAGCGGCCTGGGGGGCTGAAGCAGGAGGATCACAAATTCAAAGCCAATCTCAGTAACTTAGTAAGGCCCTAAGCAACACATTGAGACCCTGTCTCTAAATAAAATACAGAAATGGGCTAGGGATGTGACTCAGTGGTTAAGTGTTCCTGGGTTCAATCCTTGTTCCCCCCCAAAAGAAAAAAGAAAAAAAGATTATATATATATATATATATATATATATATATATATATATATATATATATATATGCATGCACATACACACACGCACCCACAAATGTTGTTATTGTTTGAATATGAGGTGCCCCTCCCCCATCTTCTGTGTTAATGCTGATTGAATGTTCAAAGATGAAATGATTGGATGATGAGATGTAACCTGTTCAGTSTATCCTAGTTTAAATGGGCTAAGTGGGTAGTGACTGGAGGAGGTGATTCACTGGGGTTGTGCCATGAAAGAGTACATCTTCCTTGTGGTCCCTTCCTCTCTGCCATGAATGGAGTAATTTCCCTCTACCCTCCCTTCTGCCATGAGGTGCCTTACCTTGGGCTCAGAGCTGTGGAATCAGCTTGAATGACTAAAACTCTGGAACCTTGAATCTAACTAAACTTTTCTTCCTCTTAAGTTGTTCTGATCAGGTATTTTAGCCACAGTGACACAAAACTAACATTGTCTAAGATTTCTGTCTTGGAAGGCTATCTCTTTCTTGGTCCTCTGGTTCAAAACAGTAGGCTTTTTTCAAAGTTTTTTTGTTGGTTTTCTTTCAGGGTTGCTGACTTCTTGAAATTGAAGTTTGGGATATATAAGGCAAGGAGAAAGCCATGGAACTCACAACTATATCGTTCTTAAGTGTGAAGTCTCTGCTGTTTGACCCTGTTTTCCCCACATTTTGGAGCCTCTTATGTTTGTTGTATTTAAAAAAAAAAAAAAAGCAGGGTTCTTAGTTGTCAGCTATTATAATAAGAATTTGAAAAAATAATTTATTATTTGCAGTGTGTTTCAACAGCAGATGTAGTATCTACTTTTAAATTTTTATTTATTTTAATTAGGTATATATGAGAGCAGAATGCATTTTTATTTCATTGTACAMAATTGCAGCACAACTTTACATTTCTATGGTTGTGCACGATATAGCATCACTCCATGTGTGCAGTCATACATGTACATAGGGAAATGATGCCCATCTATTCCATCATCTTTCCCCTCTTTTCTTTGCCCAATCAAAGTTTCCCCGTTTTTTCCCATGCCTCCTCCTTCTCTGTTATGGATCAGCATCCACTTATCAGAGAGAACATTTGGCCTTTGGTTTTGGGGATTGGCTTACTTCGCTTAGCATGGTATTCTCCAGCTTCATCTATTTACCTGCAAATGTCATAATTTTATTCTCTTTTAAGGCTGAGTAATATGCCATTGTGTTTATATACCAGTTTCTTTGTCCCTATTTTTTACCTAGAAAGCTGCTTTCTCAAGAACGTACCACCTGGTAAACCTAGTAGGCATTCTGTAATTTTTTACACTAAATCAGATAAATTTTATTGTAAGCCGTGTGGTCATTATTTATATGAAGGTAATAGTTAATTTCTTTGAAAATGCTATTAGTCACTTGAGTGTGTCTCAATTCTGGCAACTGAAGGTACTGTTAAAACTACTATTCTCTGTGGAAGGACTGGTAAACATCAGTTTTAAGCTCAGCTGCTATTTTTCTCATGTGATAATAGATAGTTGTAGTTACAGATAATTCATGATGTTTCCAAAAAATGTACATCCTCTTTAGTAAGAAGTTGATTTTAGTATTTATAATAATATTGATCATCACTTCATATTTCTTGAGCAAATATTTTTAAATGTTCATCTTCAATTTTTCAATTTCTGTGCATTTTATGGAATGTTGTCTTTAGGCTTGTGGACATAGGCCTTTGTGCCCACYTTTCTTGGTGGTGTTTCTCCTACCTGTCTTCCAGGGAAATGAGTTTTGAAATTATTACTTCTTGTCTGGATTTATCATGTACTCCAGCCTCATACCCTATGTCCTGCCTTTCAGTTGAATTTTTCATTTGTGGTCATTACTTTAAAATCTATTTACATTGTTCAAATAGTAGTTCTGACTACAATTCAACTTTATCAGCCACAGAATCTTATATACTTAAATAAATCCTTTTAGATTTGCACTATAATTGGATAATGAGATAAGTGTGCACCTTACAGCAGTTGTATGTTATTTTTTCAGTTATTAAATCATAAAGCATTTAAATAATACCAGTGGTAAGAACACTGTCAGAAGCTAAAAACCTTTATTATACCTTTTAAATTGGTACAGACAGTAGAAAAAACAACTTGATAATTTGTATCAGGAGTCATAAAATTGTTGATGCCCTATTCTTCTAGAACAGATATCCCAAGAAAATAAGCTAAAAAGTAGAGGAATAGCTGTAGATATAATGGGACAGTGTTTGTGGTAGGCTACTCAGCAAAATAATAGTTAAAACTGTATTTATACTATGATCACTTTAATATGTCTATAGCAGAAAAAAAWAGATATATAGATTTAGAATTCTCAGAATTTTTTGTGGTATTGTAAATGCACAGAGCAGTACTAATTGTGTGATTCATGTGTATGTACAGCGTGCATAGAAAAGACGAAAAAAACCAAAAATATTTCCCATTTTTATCTTTAAGGAGTTGAACAATGTCTTATTTTCTATTTAATTGTACTTATTTCTCCTGCCCCAAATATCCCACTGGAGGAGAAAGAATAAAAATATTTAATTTTTTTCTTTTTTTTCCAACTGAAAACATATTTGTTAATTTAAAGAGCACAGAGGTCCAGGGTAGGAGAAATAATGTCACCTCTCTCATCCCAAGGACATCACTAAGTTACTGAGAACACCTCATCCTCCCCAGGAGATTCCCATGCACGTGTGTTGAAATGGTCTTTAATGTGCTCTTTTTCTTTTAGGGAGACTTTCTACTAGATTTTGATGCCTTAAATGGATGAATCCTCAGCTCTTGAGAAACTGACCTAATCAGAGTAACTTATGTTCAGAGGGCCCTAGAAAGTTGGGGTTAGACAAATTGAATGAAACTTTCTACCATGAAACTGTTTTAGAATCCCAAAAGGAATCAGAGGGTTGGGGTTGTAGCTTAGTGGTAAAGCACTTGCCTAGTGTGTATGAGGCACTGGGTTCTATCCTCAGCACCACATAAAAATAAATAAAATGTGAAGGTATTGTGTCCATCTACAACTAAAATAAATATTTTTTCAAAAAGGGGGAATCATTAGCAGTTTTGTAATTGGGGAAGAGATTGTGAAGAATTGTAGTAAGTTGTATGCAAAAGAGTTTGTTTTTGTTTTTCTGACACAATATGGCTCCTCTCTATGTCCCGCAGCTGGCCCTGAAGGACCCTGTGCACACGGTGTCGCTGCAGCAGTTCATCTATGAGAAGCTCAAAGCACAGCAGGAGGTTCTGGGAGAACAAGGCTTCCAGTCTCTCATGGAAACGGTGGACACAGAGATCGTCACCCAACTGCAAGAGTTCTTGCAAGGATTCTAAGAGCATATGCCACATGGCTGCCACCTTTTTCTTSAAGCAAGCCGAATAACCCAGCCTTCCACCTACCTGTGAGAGCCTGCTGAGGTGACAAAGTCACTTGTGTATGAAGTTCAAGAAACAAAGACCACACATTTTTTACTACAAAATATAAAGAATAAATATAAATCCCACATAACTAAAATCACAAACCTATTCCTCAAAAGAATTTAATTTTATATTTATGAAGGGGCCGTGTGTTTGCTAGAGGTACATTTACTGACAATAGCTGCTTAATTTCCTGTTAAGAGAAGAAACTTTGATTGTCTTTTAATCATGTACTCTTAACACTTGAGAAGATGAAGGTTGATGTCTAAGATGTTTTTCTGCAACCAAAATTAGTTAAATTTGGCTGCCTTATCCCTTTTTTAAGYTAATGAAACAAGTTTGGAAAAATGACAGAGCTGTTCAGATGATGCAATTAAAGAAATCTATATACCAGGCAAAAGTATATAAATAGTGACAAATGTACATTACTAAGATTACCTTGCAAGGAGTTGTTTTCATCTGACATAGAAAATGTGTTTTATCAGACACATGCTTTTATTTTCATCTCGGTAATTCAATGCAGGAATTAGTAAAAGCATTTTTTTTCCTCATTTGATTTTTAGTAAATACACTTAGTTTGTAAATGTACATTGTAAGGCCCACAGAAGTGAACCTGTGGTACTGCAGTAGCAGGTGGGAGACCTCTGGTTGTGGTTTGTTCCTAGTTTCTTTGTTACTCATGAAGGCCAGCAGCCCTGCAAATGCCAAGAAGAACCAGGCAGCTCCCAGTCCCCAAGTGTTGTGCAGTCCTACAAAGCCACGACGGGCTGTTACACACTTACCCAGGCGTCTCAGGGTCCTTAGTGCATGGGTACATCGGGGCCTCGGTGATGTAGGTGCACCTCAGAGGACCCAGCAGTAAGCCCCAGAGCATCAACACTGACATAACCAGTCTTCCTTCCTTGTTCCTCCATCATGCAGTACTTACAAAGGGGAAAAGGAGAAAATAAAGCCTTACTTTGTTTTACTTGTCATTTATTGTAAACAACAACAACAACAAACCTTTAAAGCATTTTTTTTAGGAAATACTCAAAAGCAAGGTTGGAAAGTGTCTTATCTTTCTATAGAAAGTTGGGTACAGTATGTAACTGCGGGAAACCCACTGCCCCTTTGTAAGCTGTGGAACCCAAAATGTCTGGGATATTTGATGTTTTCAGCAAGAGAAAGAAAATACAGTCCAAATTAAATTTTCCAAAGATACCTCACCTTGACTGATTTGTCTGATTAGTTTTCTTGCCTCTCATACCAAAAAATGAATTCATAAAAATTGCCCAGTGATTGATTATAAAGGGATATTTTCTTTTATTCTCTGATTCTGATCTGCATGAGTTAATGGCAATGCTACAGGAAGCAAATCTTAGTTACCTGGTTAAGTTCTATTTTAAGACTGGGGATGTGGCTCAAGCGGTAGTGCGCTCGCCTGGCATGCGTGTGGCCCGGGTTCGATCCTCAGCACCACATACAAACAAAGATGTTGTTTCCGCTGAAAACTAAAAAAATAAATATTAAAATTCTCTCTCTCTCTCAAAAAAAAAAAGACTGAACACAGTGGCTCAGGGGGCTGAGGCAGGAGGATCACTAGTTCAAAGCCAGCCTTAACAAGACCCTGTCTCTAAATTTAAAAAAAAGGGGGGGGGGCTAGGGATGTGGCGTAGCAGTTAAATGCTCCTGAGTTCAATCCACGGTACCAGAAGAAAAAGGGTATTTCTTTACCACTATTAGCCTACAAGACTGACCTAAGTTTAATAATATCTGTCTTTTGCCTTAATTATTTAATTTGAAACACTGTCCCCATCAGTGTTGTTAGAAATTCTCAAACATGCTTTAGTTCTTCAGTTATAGTGAAATATCCATCTTTCCAGTTCCTGACATTTTAATATCATACTATAGCCAGATATTACCAAAACAAAACCCAGAGAAACTTATCTCAGAGAATGAATTTGGTTCATTTTTTAACTCATGGGTCAAAATAGGCTTTGTAAAAATCCTAGGGGGGGAAAAAATTTCATGGGACTGGGGATGTAGCTCCAGTGGTAGAGCAGTTGATCCCCCAGCACACCACCGGGAAAAAAAAATCATGTATCTTGTATTTTTATGTGCTTTATTATGACATAAAATGTTGAATTACAGAATTCAATAACACAAATTTATAGAAGCATTTTAAGTTTGGGTCAAGAGTTCAGCTGGACCTCTGACTGAACTGTGTGTGGCTCCTGACACCAGGTAATGATAATTCAATTTCATGACTTTATCTAGTCCTCTGACAAAGGCCCATGTGATCAATAGTAGTAGCATTTTGACTTTTCAATATGAATTGGTCCTTTCTCCCTMTCCTACTAGTCATATTAGAGAAGCCACATCATTACATGCTGAAACACTTATTTATACAATTTCTCTTGAAAAGTATTTTTTAGATCTTTATCTGTTCTTTTTTCAACTGGTATTTGTTGAGTTGCCATTTTTGCCATAGTGTTTGCTGCCTTATATGGTTGGGACAGGGAATACCTACCTCCACGCAGTTGTGCAATTCAGTAGGAACACACACTCGCCACCATGATGTAAGAATATAGGGAATCTGGTGGAAGGGAAAGGAGAAGGAGATCAGTACAAAAGAAATATGAGGCCATCACTAGTTCATTCCATAGCCATCTAAAGCCTACACTCAAACAGCATAGTTTACTGAGTTTATTTTAAAAGTAAATAAATGGCAGTGTACTGGAACTGGTCAACTCTCTGACTCCAGACAGCTATTTGAAATCATAAATATACAAAATCATCATTGAGTTTTTTTAAAAAGTTGGCTTTCTGTAGCCTTACAAATAATTCCTAATTCCATGAAATAAAACATAGCTTACCAACAAAGTGTTGTTATCTTCTCCTACAAACATAAGCTCCAAGTGACTAGAAGTATGTCATGAAAAACAAATATTCCCCCTAACTTTAGAAAAGGTTTTACAGCAGCATTGAAAGAATAGTATAGTGAACCCCAGTATCCCTTTTATCTAGATTCATCAAACTAACATTTTGCCACATTTCTGTATCCATATACATACATAAATACACACATGCACTCACACACAGATGTCTTTACTTTTATTGAACAATTGAAAGATACTACAGAATTATCACTTCATCTCCTAGTACTCCAGCATGCATTTAAGAATGGGTCTGCATATTCACTAATATCAATACCTAAGAAAATTAACATTAGTGCAATTAACACTTAAAAACCAGTTCATATTCCAATTTTCTCAACTGCCCTAAAAAGATATCTTTGTATGATACCCATATGTCATTTGATCCAGAATCCATTTAATATATTGCATTTGATGGTTTGATTTTTTAAATCTACAATTGTCCTTTTTTCATGTCATTGACCTTTGTGAAGAATTCAAGGCAGTRTGGAATATTCCTTTAGTGTAATTATCTGTTTACTCAATTCTGTTAAATAGTCACATAATGTTAGGTGGTTTCTATTGATTGTACAGGGGTTAAGGTGGTGAGTTCCAGTCCTCTCCGTTGTAAAGATTAGTTTTCAGAGAACATTACAGCCTTGGAAATTTCCAGCACTTCCCCCCCCTCCCCCCCCCCGCAGGGGTGGGGAAGTACTGGGGATTGAATTCAGGGGCACTCCACCACTGAGCCATATCCCCAGCCCTATTTTGTACTTTGTTTAGAGACAGGGTCTCACTGAGTTGCTTACCACCTTAATAAATTGCTCAGGCTGGCTTTGAATTTGAGATCCTCCTGCCTTTGCCTCCCAAGCCACTGGGATTACAGGCAGTGCTCCACTGCACCCGTCCATCCAGTCCTTTTTAATTTTTCACTTGAGTCAGCTCTTACCACCACCAGTTTACCTATGTCTTGATTTACAAAAGTAAGGCAATTTTATTTAAACTTAGAAAAATAACATGACTGAGCTGTGGAAAAGGTATATGGGACCTGGTACAAGTGTAATCATCCTTAAATCTCAAAACTTTCTTCTTGTGGCCTATAGTCATCCTTCCTTTTCCCCCATCTCGCCCCACCCCTTAATTTTTTTCTTTTCTTTCTTTTTTACATCTTTGTGAATACATTGTGACTAGAACTCTCACACATCACTAAAAATGAAACTAAATACTGCCTTTCTCATTACCAAATCACACTTTTTGGATTTGGGAACTGTTGGCAAAGAGGCAAATACTTAGCAATGCTAATCATTTTAGTGAGACTCGTGCTTGGGCCAAGCTTAGAAAGCAGACCAGCATATTTTATTTTAGGGTCATTAAAAATGAGAGGCAGTATGTTATCAGCTGGCAAAATGTGAAGATAAAATAATCATTTCCTTAAACGTGAAGCTTTGATCTTGGTATCTCAGTAGGACTGTAACATCTGCTGAGTCAGTTTAAAGTTACTTTTTACCCCTTCAGAAGAAACTGCATTCTGTTCCAAATATCCAATTATATCAAATTTTGTGTCCCATGAAGTGGTGACACACAGTTCATGTGGCTACAAAACTTTAGTTCTTCCATAACTCTGAGCTGCTTGTCTCAAGTTGAGCTTCAGAGCCCTTGGGGTGCATACCCTAATATCCTGAAAAGTTCTCAGTCTGAGTTTCTGTTTTTACTTTTGGCCTGAGGGACTTAAGGTCTGAAGCAGTTGGATAAAATTCAAAACTCAGAATCTTTGCTTGCATTTTCTCATGAATTCTTCCCTACCATAAGAAGTGGAGAGTCCCTGACTAGCCAAAGCAAGATTTTGCTCTCTGCTTCAGCTAATGCCAGCACCAAACTCATGTGGGCCTATTGGTTAGAATTTATTTAGCTAGGTGTGCTTCAGGAAGAAATGATTCGATGTCTGGTCAGCAGCCCTTTTTCCTTCAAAGTGAAACATTGATTTTTATGCCACTTTAATTTCCCAGTAGGGCAAAAATAGGATGTAAGGAACTGCTAGAACTGGTGAGTCCTGGGAGGCTTAAAGCATATTTATTTTGTCTGCCACTGGGCAGGTGGTTATAAAGTGGAAAATAGGCCTTTTGGCTAGAATTGTGCTTTGGGAGTTTTATTGCCAGGGTTAGAGCAGGAACTAGAGACCAGACTGTGTGGAGCTACCAGTGAGCTTTTAGTTATTTTTCAACAGCTTTCACCTGAAGCAAGATCAGCTTCTCATTTCAAAAAGTCCAGGTCATTTCCTCAGTGCTCTCAGCTAGCCCGGAAGTGCCTTGTTTTCCTTTTTTAAATGAATACTGCAACATAAGCAATAATCTAGAAGAGCAAAACTTTTTGATTGACAAAGAAGTTATAGCTCATAAGAGTGTTCAMGGAGCTCAGAAGTGTATTGACAGCCAGCCAGGGAAGGAATTCTATGGACAAATCTGGGGGTAATCACAAACTAATTATGAGCTTTATTAGTCAAGGAGTGCAGCTTGATTTCTTTATTTTTTGGATTGAAAAGCATGTATATGTTATGTACCATCTCTGGTACTGAAATCAATACTGTAAAATGGCTTCTTTATTTACATACTGCACAGTACATTGAGGAATGCTGAACCAGGTGAGCAAATCCAATAATACATGTAATATAAAAAG